TCTGGTTTATTTGGACTTATTCTGTGCCTTACATTGCTGTCGGAGCCTAAAATTCATATAAACAGTTCTCAAAACGTGTTGTTCATTTATGCTTCATGTGGACTCAAATTCGGTAATCCAACGTGCATTGCATAACCAACGATGGATGAGCTGTCGCTCGTATCAAAATCACATCACGCCCGTCCCATTGAGCTCGTGCATAGTTGTTGTTCATCCGTCCAAGTTTTCGGTTGCTTAGGTTGACCGATCCACTGATCTGGATGTCCCTTGATCATTGTTTAAACTTATCTGCAGTCCTCGAGATACTATTCCACATTATTGTCTGTACTTTACCATGATTGGTTAACTCTCCGATGAGAACATGTCAGTTCCGTGAATACCCGGAGGTTTAATGGGAGTCTTGTGTGATAGATGTCCTCACAGTGACATCTGGTATTTTGTTCAAGGTCACATTTGTAACCCTAGTGAAATTATGTCCGGGTTGTAAGGTACCGTTGAGTGGCCGCACGATTTCCAATAACTCTTTGGAACTTTATTCGCCATTCGATAGATAAAAATAAAACCCAATTGGTTGGACAGATTTCCTTTACAGCCATTGGATCGCACAACAAATCTCGTCCGCATATGCAGGACTCGCTGTTCTCGCATGCTGTACTCCGTCTCATCAAGGTTTTCAGACCTCGATTATTGTGAAACTGGTTTAGCACATCGATCATGTGGTTTTTAGGGTGTGACCGCTGATGCATGCCTCAGGTTGTTTAAACTACGGATGAAAATTGGGCGATTTTGGAGTTACGAAAATCTACCACGTCGGGAATGTTTCTCCTATCAAATATATCTGGCACTGTTGCCATTAAAACATGTGACTAGATGGTGATGATCTCTCTCTCTGACACCGGCATGCTTTGGTGCCTAGTGTCCAAGATTCTAACTCAACCATCGCTGCCCAACTATGGTGTTAGGTAGCTTTGCTGTCGTCCGGATCAATGCCGCGCTTATGCTGGTGGATCCTAATAGAGTTCGTCATTTCAAAACCCTAGGCTTAGGTTATCGGTCTCCACGGGTAAATATCAGATTTCCATGACTATGGGGGTTTACCTATCTGCTGTTCTTCATACAGGGATGTGTAATAAAATGCGTTACGAACAGATATATACTAATGCATAAATAGATAGATCTTGTTTTGTCTCCTAGTTAAAATGGAGTTCCCGCGTCTTTCTCATATGTTTTCTGTTAAGATACTTATCTCAGATTGTTTGATATACACAATTGGATTGCCAGCGGGCTGTAATTTGTTCCTACAAGTGTTGCCCATTGCTCATCTTTGTAAAATAGAAAAATTAATTATTGCGCTATAAACTGTTGAAGCGGTAAACTCCCTTAGTCAGAAGAGTTTCTCTTTCCGTAATCGGAATCGGTAGTTTGAAACTCGGACTAGTAACGCGTATTTGAATAAGTAAGATATCGAATCGCAATGCAACTGGGATAGAGTGGGGTGCTGTTTGATCTCCCGTTCATTCTCTTTTTACACTCTACCTGCACTCGCGTTTCATTCGGTGCATGCATAAATGACACAACTGATTGCCGAAGCTTGACGCACTCTCATTTCGATGCGGCCATAATCATCTCTCTGTCCTAGATAGTCGAAGGGAAGTAGCCGCTCTTCTGTCTAACTTCATGCTGTCCTTCCCTTTTGCCCGTGTTGATCGAACTCTCGATGCATAGCTCTCTCTCTCTCGGCCAGTTTTCTCAGCCGTTTTTCACCCTGCTGACCGTACCATTATTCATTCAGCGCAAGATAATAATTAGTAAAAAACACATGGGGGGGGGGGTTGCAGGTTTAGTTCAGTACATCTATTTCTCTCTCTCTCACAAACATTCACCCGTTCTGTCACTGCGTTCCGATTGGCAACACCACTAAGACAATGGGTGTGCCAGTGTCGAGATAGGATTTACTTTTCCATGTTTTATTCTCTTTACATATGTATGTCTGTATGTATTCATCATCATCATCGTCGTCGTCGTTATCCTCTTGGCCCTTTTTGTTTGCAATGCAATCGACCGATTCGGTGCTGCTGCTGCTGTTGATGGCCATTTCGGTGATTACTCGCTTCTCCTACCTCCAAATTGGAAAACTTCATCCACTGGGACCCCAGGTGCAAAACACTGATGCTTCTCTTTATAAAATCCGATTTATCAGATTGCGACATACAACTGCATGAACACGAATTACCGAATTCCACGTTTCTAAGCAGTCAAGTAGATCCGTATATTGTCTTGTAATGATTCCTCCTTAACCAGTTGATCGTATCCGCCTAAGAGCCAAGATGATCGAAAAAAGAAATGAATTAGGTTTATTGAGCCTCAATCTGGCATATGCCCCCTCCCCCCCCCGCCGCTCACCAGTTCGAGTGGATTTTCGCTACCATAGTTCTGTTTCGGCTTGCCTCCAATAGTCT